AGCAGAAGCTACTGTACGTTCTTTAATGGGGAGTGCCACTGATTCAGGAGATAGTCTAGAAGAGCCACCATCTAAACACCATTGTAATGGAATATGGAAAACGTTTAATGAAATTTTAGAAGAAAGTGGCACTTCAATTGATGAAGAAGAGAGAGCAGATGAGTTAAGTATGTATATTTCTGAGCCCCTTGTACCATTTGGCCAGAAAATTGGATTTCAGTGGTGGGCTGAAAACTCTAAAAGATTCCCTGCTTTGTCCAAAATAGCGCAAAAATATTTGTGTACCACCTACTTCGGTACCATCAGAGAGGCTGTTTTCAAGTGCTGGGAACATCTATGATGACAAAAGGAATCGCCTTGCACCAGAAAATGCAGACACTCCTTTTTATTAAAAACAACATAAAACTGATGAATTTGTAATTGATTATTTGATGTTCAATCATTTCTTAATTAATACTAACAATTATATCATATCGGTAATAAATATCGGTTTTCTAATGCTTATTATATCGGTTATCAGTATATCGGTTGAAGTAGCATATCGGTGCAACTCCATAGTAGAGTATGATTTTAAAATTATAAAGAGTTGGGTATAAACTTAGATAATTGTGGGGCACGGTATAGGTTCAGATTCATCAGCTAAACAATAATCAGTGCAGGTCAGGGTGTGGGCATTGATATAACAGAGCTCTTGCCAATGGTGCTCATTATGTTTAAGTCATACTCTATAGACCTCTTTGGGTGAGAATAATTGATGTCAAAAAATGATACACAGCAAGGGGCGATACTGAGCCTGATTTGCTCTGAAATAATTTTCGTGGACGGCAACTTTCTATGCAGCATGAATGGGCTAAAGCAGAAAGCAAGCTGCAATAAACAAAAAGCTTCATATTGCACCAAATTTTTTTAGGAGATGCTTAGCAGCAACTGTTCTTTCCTCCAACCAGCTTTTGTAGCTCGAAAAAGCTCCATAGCAACAAAAAAAATTAGTTTCGCTTTTTTTCTCCATTCATCCTGCATTGAGTCTTGCTGTCCAAAATGGCGGCAAATCATCACACATAGATGGATACCGTAAAAACAGTAACAATATTCATAGGCTACCGTCGTCAATCTCACCCAAAGAGGTCTGTTAGGTTATAAGGGCAGCTATGTTACCTATTCCACT